GGGGGAAAAGGAAAAGATGAGGATTGGGCAAGGCCGAGAAGAGCATTTTAGAAGAAATCACTAAATAACAATAACATTATAATAAGTTTTCCTACCTCACAACTGGAAAAGCTAAGGCAGACTTGGTGTTTATAATGAAGTCCCTAGAGACAGGAGGAGCCCCTGGATGGTGCAAATGGTTACGGCAGTTGGCTGCTTACCAAGAAGTTAGGGGTTCAAGTCAACCCAGAGGTGCCTTGGAAGAAAGGTCTGGCAATCTACTCCCAAAAAATCAGCCACTGAAAACCCTATGGAGCACAGTTCTACTCATTTAACTCTGACATACAGGGGGTCACCGTACATTTCTACTCTGACATACGCGGAGGGTCACCATGAGTTGGGGTCAACTTATAACAACTGTATTTTTTTCATAGAGATAAGAAACTATGCAAAATACCAAGTGAAAAACTGGCCATTGAAAACCCTATGGAGCACAGTTCTACTCTGACATACGTAGGGTCACCATGAGTTGGAGTGGACCTGGCAGCAACTAGAACAAGTGAATTATCCTGGAAACATTTATCAGAACTAGGTTACAAGGACTACTGGAGAGTTATAACTGAATAAAATGTAAACCCATAAAGGCAAGCCCCAATAAACTTTAGGGTAATATTTGAGGAAGTAAATTGCAGAACCGAAGCCATGACGGTGGGGAAGCTGCAAAGGGCTGGCAGACACCATGACCACACCAGAGCTTTTTCAGGAGTCGTGTTATTACAGAGACTGGTCAGTTACAGATAAAAAACTCATGCCATGTCACCTACAAAATCACCTCTTGCAACATGAGTAAATGACTATACTTCATGTAGAAAATTCAGTTACATTATTGACTCTACATGGTGAGTCAAAGGATACTCACTGTATTATCCTTTTAGTGTATTTGTAGCTTTGCCTTTTCATGATAAAAAGTTGAAAAGAGCTGATTATAATTTAGACTGCCATAACCCATCTCAACACACAGTCTAGTGTAGAGACCAGCAGACACTGAGAGCACTTGAGGTGTGTTCAAATTTCCTGTTGCTCATTTTTGTTCAATATTTTGAACATCTTTTTTATGAAGAAGGCTCCGTCTTTCCTTTGTGTTGTGCATTAAGTGGCCCGTATCCCCTGGGACATTATTATCACCAATGAGCATAGTAGCTCCTCAAGAACTTTTTAAGTAAAATAAACACTTACTGTAGGGCGTTGTGGTCTATGTGCTATGTGTGTGGTTCTTCTAGTACAAAGAGGATGCTATTGACTCATCTTTGGCCCAGGCTATGCACGTTGAGTTCCTTTCCAGGGGCGATGAGGAATTCATTCATTTATTAAACAAACATTTACTGAACACAGCACTGGATATTTCAGATAGAGAAATAACAGAGTATCTATCCTTGTGGAGCTCATAAACTCACTGGTGAGATTTGACATACAGAAGGGACTATATTACCAGGTACTTATGAATGAAAGAGGAAAAAACCACTATAGGAGTTAGGATCTGCCCTCATTTATTCATTTGGCTACTTTAATAGCATAACTGTTTAGGGGTGCAGATTGTGGCCATGGAATGAAACCAGATTAACTAGCCTACTAGATTGATTCAGGAGCCCTGGTGACACAGTGGTTAAGTGCTCGGCTGCTAACCAAAAGGTCGGGGTTCAAACCCACCAGTTGCTCCTAGAGCACAGCCTTGGAAACCCTAGGGGGCAGTTCCACACTGTCCTACAGGGTCACTATGAGTCGGGATAGACTCAAAGGCAATGGGTTTGGTTTTGGTTTAAATCGGCCTATTACCTGTATATGAGACATGGTTCTCTAATCAATGATTCTACAAAATCTCAAGGGTAGTGCCAGATGTCACCAGCACAGCTGCAATGATCTTCCCAGATGGCCTCTGGCACAGTAACAATCCTGTGTCAATTTTCCAGGGAAGGACAGAGACATTAGTCACTCTTGTGCCTTCATAGCATCACCCATCAAGAGGATATTGAAGGAATATTTCTTGAATAAAATTGAATTAATCCTTCATCTCTTTGAATTGAGTTCAAAAGAGAATCCCATACTATCAGAAGAACTAGACGGTGCCCGGCTACCACTACAAACCATTCTAATCAAAGCTACAATAGATGGACCTCGATAGAATGGGAGAAGAATGTAGAACAGAACCTCTATTTCCTAAAAAACAAACAAAAAACCCAAAACTCAGGCCTACTGGACTGGGTGAGACTGGAGGACTTCCCAAGACTACTGCCCTGAGATACTCTTCAAAACTAGAACTGAACCTAACCCCTGAGGTCACCTTGTAGCTAAATAACAAAATGGCGCATAAAGTAATGAATGTCACCCATAAGTAATGTGCTCCTTTCAAAAAATCATCTAGATGAGACCAAATGGTCAATAATTACTTTAAAACAAAGATGAGAATGTAAGGGGCCAGGGAAACTAGATTAATGGAAATGGGACAATCAGAGCAGAAATACCAAGAATGTTCATGCATTGTAAAGAATGTAAACAACATCACTGAAAAACTTGTGTAGAAACTGTTGAAAGGGAACCTAAACTGCTGTGTAAACCTTCATTGAAAACACAACAAAATATTATTTAAAAAAAGAGAGAGAGAGAATCCCATACTACTAAAAGTCTATCTGATCCCTGGACATAGTACCAAGAAAGGGGGGAGTGGCAAAATTGCTGATATCCTTATAAACACAGGCCACGTGGTAGTCAGTTCAACTAGGTAGACAGGGGTTGCCTCCTTGACCTTCATTTTCAAAAGTTTGGTGATTCTGAATAAGAGCTTATGGCTATGGGGTGATTCCTCTAAGGCAGTGGTGCTCAATCAGGGGCCGTTTTGCCCACCGGGAGACATTTGGCAATAACTGGAGATACTTTGGTTTGTCCCAACTAGGAGCAGGGGATATTCTATTGGTATCCAGTGGGCAAAGCCAGGGATGCTGCTAAATATCCTACAATGCACAGGACAGAGCCCCACAGTAAAGAATCATCCAGCCCAAAACGGCAGTAGCGCTGCTGTTCAGAAATCCTGCTCTCCAGGGAGTGAGTATCACTCAATTCACAGGCCAAAGCCTGCATTCCTAATGACCTGAAAAAGGCATGCTCTGAACATTAGGAGGTCTGGGCAAGATAAGGTAGATGGTTCCATGCAAACCTAGCATTGCTGTTGTTGTTAGCTGTTGTGGAATCAGTTCTGACTCATGGCAATCCCTAGTGTGCAGAGCAGAACCAAACTCTATAAGGTTTTCAAGGCTGTGACACTTCGGAAGCAGATCACCAGGCCTGTCTTGGGTGGGTTGAAACTCCCAACCTTTCGGTTACTAGTCCCAGGCTTAATGAGGATGCCTTACAGAATCACTTTTGAGTATGAAGAATAGCACATTAATCATGAAACAAACACTGAGAAGAAGCAAAGTAAGAAGAGCTTAACTCTCACGCTTCATCTAGACCAGTGTTATCTAATAGAAATATAATACAAGACACATATGTAATTTTAAAATGTCTAGCTGGTTGAATAACAAACGTAAGAAGCAACAGGTGAAATTAATTTTAATAATAAATTTTATTTCAATGTGTAATCAGTATAAAATTATTAATGCGATATTTTACTTTTTTTTTTTTCATACTACGTCTTTAAAAGCCAGTGTGTGTTTTATCCTTACAGCACATCTCAATTTGGACTTGCCACATTTCAAATGCTCAAGAGTCACATGTGGCAGCACAGATTTAGACATATCATCACACCCATTGCCCTCGAGTCCATTCTGACTCACAGCAACCCTGTACGAGTAGAACTGCCCCATAGGGTTTCCAAGGCTGTAATCTTTACAGAAGCAGGTCAGTACATCTTTTCTCCCACGGAGTGGCTGGTGGGTTTGAACCACCAACCTTTCAGTTAGCAGCTGAGCACTTAACCACTGTGCCACCAGGGCTCCTTAGACCTATAATAGGAATCACCAAAGGTTCTCATTAAAAATGCAGAACCTGGGTGCTTCATCCCAAATTTGATTCCACATGTCAGGAATCCACATTTTTAACATTTGCCCAGGTGATTCTTATGCGATTGATTCATGGCCCACATGCTGAGCAACAATGATTTAATCTAGACAATGACTGATTTGCTTAAGAGGTAACACATGCTTCTCTGTCCCTCCTAGCTTGAAACCATGTACATAGAACTAGGTTTAAGAAATAAGAGGTGTCATAGCTATAGGAAATACAGGAAACAAAGTTTTTTTGTTTTTTCCCCGAAGGATTTCTCCTGTAAAAGAAGCTTCAATATAGTTGTACGAATCCCCAATAAAGCAAACTTTCCTTCTGCATTTACTATTGGGCTATTTCCGCATTGTCTTGTTTGAAAACTTAAATCGATGCACCTATAGGCAATGCTCTCCTGTTTTAAGGGGTTTTACTTCCTCAGTCTGCTGCAAATGTGCTCAAGGAGACTCGGTCTACTCTAGCACAGTACTGTCATATAAAAAGTGGCAATCTTGTGACTCAGAAAATGCCACCAACGAATGTGCTTCTTTTCATTTCTCGTGTAGCAGGTTATACTATCTGAATGTTTATAAGACTGTAACTTGCGTCTTCACATCTGCTGTTTGTTCTCAAGTCAATTACAACTCAATCTATTAAAAAAAACCATCACCGTCGAGTCGATTTCGACTCACAGAGACCCTTTAGGACAGAGTAGAATTGCCCCATAGGATTTCCTGGGCTGTAATCTTTATGGGAACAGATTGCCACATCTTTCTCTCGTGGAGTGGCTGGTGGGCTGGAACCACTGACCTTTCAGTTAGCAGCAAAGTACTTTAGCCACTGCGCCACCAACAGTCTTTAACTCAATCTATAAACTCATCATAAATCATTTCATTTCCGTAAGTACAAAACTAGTCCGTTAAGGGCAACAAGGAAGGGGAATTGTGCTAAAAATGAGAATAAATCTTAAGAGCTGTTTGCTGCCTCACCTGTATCCATCCTCAAGGCCACTTTGTTCACAGGGAAAAGATTTCCGAGAAAAGGTCCACGTACATTTGATTTGTGGGTATGCTTTAAACCGAACAGAAAAACAAAACTCTTCATACTGGTCAATTTCATAATCTTCACTTGAATTGGAACCATTTATAAATCCCTTGTCTGTTAAAAACAAATACATTTATAAATTAGACAATGAGGTTAATATGAAAATATACAGTGAAACCTGTGAGAACCGGAACTCGGAAAGACTGCCTTGTTTTTCTGGGTCTTGAAAGGGTCCAGTCTATTGCTCTCTATTAGTGGAACCTGTACATAGACCAAGAGGCAGCTGTCTGAACAGAACAAGGGGATGTGGCATGGTTTAAAATCAATAAAGGTATGCGTCAGAGTTGTATCCTTTCACCATACTTATTCAATCTGTATGCTGACAAATAATCCGAGAAACTGAACTATGTGAAGAAGAATGCAGCATCAGGATTGAAGGAAGACTCATTAACAACCTGTGATATGCAGATGACACAACCTTGCTTGCTCAAAGTGAATAGGACTTGAAGCACTTACTGATGAAGATCAAAGACTACAGCCTTCAGTATTGATTACACTTCAGCATAAAGAAAACAAAAATCCTCACAACCAGACCAATAAGCAACATTATGATAGACAGAGAAAATACTGAAGTAGTCAAGAATTTCATTTTACTTGGATCCACAATCAACATCCATGGAAGTAGCAGTTAAGAAATCAAACCACGTATTGCATTGGGCAAATCTGCTGCAAGAGGTCTCTTTAAAGTGTTGAAAAGCAAAGATGTCACTTTGAGGACTAAGGTGTGTCTGACCCAAGTCGTGGTATTTTCAATCACCTCATATGCATGTGAAAGCTGGACAATGAATAAGGAAGACTGAAGAATTAATGCCTTTGAATTATGGTGTTGGTGAAGAATACTGAATATACTATGGACTGCCAGAAGAACAAATAAATCTGTCTTAGAAGAAGTACAGTCAGAGTGTTCCTTGGATGCCAGGATGGCAAGACTTCATCTCATGTACTTTGGTGTTATCAGGAGGGACCAGTCTCTGGAGAAGGACATCACGCTTGGTAAGGAAGAGGGTGAGCAAAAAAGAGGAAGACCCTCGACAAGCCGGATTGACACAGTGTCTGCCACAATGGGCTCAAACATAGCAACGATTGTGAGGATGGTGCAGAACTGGGTAGTGTTTCATTCTGTTGTACATAGGGACGCTATGAGTTGGAACTTGATGGCACCTAGCAAGTGGAAAATATTTGAGTTTTGCTTCTCTGACGGGTTTCTCCTTATGCAGTTTCCGGCTTTCACAGGTTTTACTGTATTTAAATTATTCATCAGTTTGACAAAAGAAAACTGGGATGTGGGCGTGATTTGATAGTGAAACATGAAATACAGGATTCCTATCCCCAGTGACAAGCCTGGGTTCATCACCTTTTGCAAAAGTCAAGATTCCTCTAAGAATTTGATGGAAATAATTAATTCTCCTCCCAGAGAAATGGACACAGAGACTTACAAAGTTTCACACAATTTCAAAAGGCTCCCCAACCCCAGGACAACTATGTACACACTGACAGAGTTCAGAAACCCCTGGGATCAGCTAGAACATCTCTCTTGGTGATGCGTGTTGCATAAATAAACTCAGGGCAAAAATAAAAGAGCAACCTGGCCAGCAATATTCACCAGGCTATCTTATGGAGCTCTTTCTTATTAGTTTACAGTGAGAATCACTGTATTTCTTAGCGTTCTCTTTATTTCTGAAGGCTGCAACCTAATCTGAGATTACTTAAACATGGTTGTTTTCAAATCCTAGATAGCCCACCCAAATTTCAGTTCGCTGAAGTGCGCGCACCATTTTCTCAGTCATTTCTCACTACGCTCTCAGTGGGTTCTTTCAAAACCAAGTATTTATTAAGTGTCTATTATGTGGCAGTCTTGGTGCTAGGTTCTGGAACTACAAGGATATAAGGGATTGCCCCTGTCCTTCAGAAATTTAGGAACCCTGGTGGTGCAGGGGTGAAGCGCTCAGCTGCTAACCAAAAGATCAGCGATTTGAACTCACCAACCGCTCTGTGGGAGAAAGATGTAGCAGTTTGCTTCTGTAAGATTACAGCCTTGGAAACCCTACGGGGCAGTTCTACTCTGTCTTACAGGGTCACTATGAGTTGGAATTGACTTGATGGCAACGGGTTCAGTTTTTAAGAAATTTACAGTTTATCATATTGTCGTTAAGTGCCGTCAAGTCAGTTCTAACTCACAGCGATCCCATGTAACAGAGGAGAACTCTGACCCATTGAGCTTCCTAGGCTGTAATCCCTACAGGAACAGATTTCACGTCTTTCTCCTGAGGAGCTGCTGGGTGGGTTCGAACAGCGCACCTTTTGGTTAGTAGCCAAGTGCTTGACCATTTGCGCCACCAGGGTTCCTTCAGTTTATCATAGGACAAAAAATACACAAGTAGACAGTCACATTACCATGTAGTAAATGCAAAGATACTACCATTCACCTAGGCACAGTTTAAGGAGCACACAACAACAACAAATACAGTTTAACTGGAAAAGGAAGGGCGCTGGCAGCTGATATTCGGAAAGCTATTTGGATTCAGTTTTTTTTTTCAGCTCTTTGATACTAACAGTATATTGAAATTAGAATTTGCAGTACATACCTCACATTCCACAATAAAGTAACTAAAAATATGGATAAAGATTGCATTAGCAGCCTGCATTACCTACGACGGTAACCAAAGTTGATTTACTGGGATGCTCTGAAGACGAACAAGTGTAGGATCCAGTGTCGTTTCTTCCCACTGATGATACAAAAGCAAACAGAATCCGTATCATAGTTCTGTTTGTTGAATAGGTACTCATCTCAAAGTAGCTGTCCTAGATTTTAATGAAACAGAGTTCGAATTTAATGTTTTTAACCTATACTATTATTTCATTGTTCCTGTGTTATCAGAATGCAAACTTGTCATATTACCTCTGTGAGCATTTTGTTTCCTAATTCCCATTTGAGCTCGAATCTATGGTTTATGTAAACAGCTTTGCATCTTATCCACAGTGGTTCCCCTACTTTGAGAAATAATTGGGGCAAGGTTGTCTGCGGAGTGGCATTTAGATCTAGAAGACAAAAACATTCCAAGTGAGAAGTACAGCAGTTTTTCCTCATCACAAAATATACTCTGAACATTTTGAAGAGCAAAGATTTTGACATCATCTCAAATGTTACTAAGCACATTCATAAATGAATCTTTTAGAGGTTGGCTACTTTTTATGCAAAAAGTCTGCCATTTATAGAATCTATAATGTGACACTTAAAATGATCTAAAGGAACTACGGAATTTTTAAAAAAATTTTATTGTGCTTTAGGTGAAAGTTTACAGTTCAAGTTAGTTTCTCATTCAAAAATTTATACACACATTGTTTTGTGACATCATTTGCAATCCCTGCAATGTGACAGCACTCTCCCCCTTTCCACCCTGCAATCCCCCTGTCCATTCATCCGGTTTTCCTCTCCCAGAACTACAGAACTTCTGAAGTTAAACGATTACCTAAGTAGTTACCATTAGCCCCAGACAGTTTCAAAGTAACAGACACTGAAAATAAAAGAACGTTGTGTTATAGTGTTACCTATTGTGAACAGCTTGGTACACTCCCTGCCCAATTTATTTTTTGCACAGCATCTTATGTCTGTTCCAAATAATTCATGAAGAACCTTTTCCTCCTTTTTAACAACAGCCGGACCTTCTTCTTTACAGCTGCAATTAGAAAATGAATGTCATTTGACTAATACATGTTTTCAAGTTACAAATGAATGTTCAGGAGAATACAGCTAAAGATTCTAGCGCCTCCTTTCAGGGAGCAAAGCAAAGAGCAGGTCAAAAGACAAGCAAACCCAAATCTACAGTCTCTTAACCAATTAGAATAACACGAGAGAGAATTACATAATAAAACCGTTCGAAGATTTTTGTGTTTGGTAACCTCTTTTTTTTTTTAAGAAAAAGAAAGAAATGGGAAAGGAAACAGAAAGCAAAAAAAAAAAAAAAAAAGAGAGAGAGAGGAAAAAAAAGAGAGAAGAGGAGGAGCATGATTGGGTTGGAATGAGCTTTACCAGGTAGGTGTCTTTTTCTTTGAAGCACAGAAGAGACAACCAGTGAAAGGGAGAGAAGCTAAAGTTACAAAAGTCACCAAAGTTCCTCACCAAATAGAGGAGGAAGCCGAGGCATCACTAATGAGAGAAGAGGGCCTGCCAAGACTTCTGGGTATTCAACGGGAGAACACAGCCCCTCCCTCCACCATCGCAGGAAAAGAATCCTGAGTCCTAAGGAGTCTTCCCAAACATTCTCTTTGCCACACAGATAGCTGGTTTGGGAGCCTGTGTAGACTCACTCGTCTTCTCTCTTTATCACCTTGTTGTTAGATGCCATCGAGTCAATTTTGACTCATAGCGACTCCATGTGGCAAAGTGGAGCTGTTCCATAGGGTTTCTTAGGCTGTAATCTTTAAAGGAGCAGATCGCCAGGTCTTTCTCCCTCAGAGCCACTGGGTAGGTTTAAACCACGAACCTTTCTGTTAGCCGTGGAGCACTTAAACGTTTTGCCACCTGGGCTCCTCCTTTAACACCTTAGTCAAGTGTACTCTTATCTTTTTTATGTATCATTCCTTGAGTTATTGTTTCTTATTACAAAACCAAAAAAAAAAAGAAAACCTGTTGCCATTGTTTCAATTCTAACTCACAGTGACCCTACAGCACAGAGTATAAGTGCCCCACAGAGTTTCCAAGGAGTGGCTGATGGATTTGAACTGTCGACCTTTTGGTTAGCAGCCAAGCTCTTAACCACTGCACTACCAGGGCTCCTTCTGATTACAAGACAATAATAATTGGGTTCATTACAGAAATTATGGAAAATACAAAACAAAAAAAAGACCAAAAGAAAAGAATTCTAAATTTCCCATATTCCTTCCACCCTGAAATAACAACTCTTATCATTTTGGTGTACACTTTTCTTTTGTTTTAAATCTATGCATATATTACATACATATCTACATTCAAGAAAGACCCTCGATGAGATGGATTGACACAGTGGCTGTCAGTAATGGGCTCAAGCAAAACGATAGTGAGGATGGTTCAGGACCAGGCAGTTTTTTGTTCTGTTACATGCAGTGTCTCTATGAGTGGGAGCTGACTCGACGGCACTTAATGACATCTACGTGTAATCTCTTTTTCTTCTGAAATTTGGGATCACATTCATATCATTTGGTAAGCTGGTTTTTACTTTTTTTTCTCCTTCTAGTGTCTCAATTTTCCATAAAAGTTGTCTGATAGATTTTAATTAGCTCACACTGCCTGAATTGTTAGTTTGTGTGAACTTAGCTATGGCACATATGAGTAACAAAAGTAAGCATTTATATCGTACTTACTATTTGCCCAGCACTGTTCTACGTGCTTTACGTGTATTAATTCATTAAATCATCACGTTGTTGTTGTGTGCCGTCAAGCAGATTCCGACTTGTAGTGACCCTACAGGACAGAGTAGAACTGCCCCATTGGGTTTCCTAGGCTGTAATCTTTATGGGAAGGAGCCCTGGTGGTACAATGGTTAAGCACTTGGCTGCTAACCAACAGGTCTGCAGTTCGAACCCACCAGCCACTCCTCAGGCGGAAAGACCTGTTGATCTGCTTCCATAAAGATAATAGCCTTGGAAACCCTATAGGGCAGTTGGAACCAACTCGACAGCAGTAGGTTTTTTTGTAATCTTTATGGGCGCAGATCATCAGTTCCTGCTGAACTGTGGCTGGATTTGAACCGCCGACCTTTTGGTTAGCAGCCTAGAGTTTAACCACTGAGATTCCAGGACTCCTTATTTAATCGTCATAACAATTGTTTAAGACAAATGCTGTTATGATCGCCATTCTGTTGTGAGGCACAGAGAGGTTAAGCAGCTTGCTGGAGATCCCACAGCTAATAAGCAAACCTGAGTTCAAATCCAGGTCGTCTGGCTCTAGATTCTACATCGTTCAACCATCACATTAGACTGCTTTTCCAGGATAAACAGAATAATCACAAATTAAACATTCACAGTGAATTTCTTATTTATAAGAGAATTATCATCTAAAATCAAATTAAAAGGGCCTTTATTTGTATAGTAAAATGCTCAGGGAGGACCCTGCTATGGAGCAGATGAAATCTGAGGAGTTCAAAAAAACCTCCCTTACTGAAAATTCCCCATCATGCTCCCTGTGAAGCCCAGAGAGAATAGTCATTCTTAAAGTTTAAGGAGCCGAAGTCTCCTGTTTAAATGGGAATAAATTAAATCTTACATACAGTATGATGTCAACTATATTAGAAAAAGACCAAAAAAGTAAAATAACAATAGCAGTTCTTCTTCTACATGCAACATACCTTTCACTCTGTGAATCGCAAAACACCCATTCCACCACCGGTTCTGGAATGCTCTCAGATATGCAGAGCAGTGCATCTTGATTTTCCATTTTTCTGAAGTAAGGTCTTCTTAATGTGTAAAGTGGTGTATCTAAAGCAGCATAAATTATTAACATTTTAATATTTAAAAAATAACGGCCAAGTAGCAAAAAAAAATTCTACATCATCAAGAAAAGTCAATATTCTATACCGCAGCAGTGTCTTCTGACCTCCCTCATCCCACCTCAATATATTAAATTCTACTCTGGCTGAAATGTCAACTTTCACATCTATCCTTTTGGCCAGCTGTTCTGAGTGTTTCACAAACTTTAGAAAACTGAAGTAAGTGCTGTGAAGCCATGTGTGATTATAACTGTTGACACGTATAAGAAAAAGAAAACTAGCAATAGCATACAGTTTAAAACCCATACTTAACATAGAGCGGAAAACCCAACTATTGTCCCATAATTCTACTTAGAACGAAGCAGGAATATACTGGGATTTCGAAATGCAGAAGTACAGTAGGATGGAGTTGGAACTGGAACAGAGTTTAGAGGTTTAGTTTAATCTCTCATTCACGGTTGGACCATAACCCTGTGCTCCCCCACTCCCAGCTGCCCAGCCCCACCCCAGGATCCATCTGTCCCCCTCAACCATGCTTAACACACACCCTTCTCCTTCTGCTTGGGGCTCTCCAGGGACAGAAGTTCCCTGCACCCCAGGGCAGAGCATTCCATCTTTCCACACAATATTTTTTTGTTTTTTTTTTTACTTAAAGAAGGTTTCCTTATTGTGAACTCTAGTCTCCCTCCTTATAATAAACTTTGTTTTAAAAACGAGGTTATATTTGATATATATACAAAAGAATATATGAAGTACACATTTTGAAGCATAATAATAAAAACAAATACCCATGCACCCACTATCCAACTTAATAGCTGGAGTATTAGTAAATACCTTTGAATCTACTTCTGGTTCCTCCTCATCTCTCAATGCTAGGTAACTCACATCCTGAATTTTGTATTTATCATTTCTGTGCTATTCAAAATAGTTTCACCACATAGATATGTGTCACTAAACAATATATTGATTAATTTTGTTGTTTTTGAGTTTTAAAATATGCTACCACTCTCTATGTAGTCTTCAACAACTTGGTTTTTTCATCCAATCTTACATTTTTAAGATTCAGCCATGGTTTTGCATGTAGCTGTAGTTTATTCAGGAGCACTGGTGGTAAGTGGTTAAGAGCCTGGTCGCTAACTAAAAGGTTGGCAGTTCGAATCCACCAGCTGCTCCTTGGAAATCCTATGGGGGCAGTAATACTCTGTCATATAGGGTTGCTATGAGTCGGACTCAACTCAACAGGACAAAACAACAACAACATAGTTCATTCAGAGTCCCTGGATGATGCAAATAGTTAAGTGTTCAACTACTAACTGAAATGCTGGCGGTTGGAACCCACCCAGAGGCACCTCGGAAGAAAGCCCTGGAGATCTGCTTCTGAAAAGTCACAGCTTGATAACCGTAGGGAACACAGTTCTATTCTCCAACACATGGGGTTGCCGTGACTCAAAATCTACTCGAGAACATGGCACTATAGTCAGAAGCACCATGCCATCCCTCCACAGCAAAGATCAGAAAAACTAAGTCAAACAGAGTCACATGTCAATCCTGAAACCCTAAGCATAAAATGAAGAGATAAAGAACTCAGCCAAGCACCCAATGGAATAAGAAACTGACGGAGAACAGAGAGCGAGGAGAGATACATGCAGAGGTCCCCTATCAGCTACCACGCATGAATCCACCATCTTGGACTCCTATCAGAGACCAGCGAACAGGGGGTATGAGACAACAGCTTCACGGAGCTTCCAGCAGGAGACAGAACAACTGGTAACCAGCGATACAGGCTTTCCCATCCCCCACCCTTCTTCACCCCCACTTAGCCTCCTCTGCCTCCTGCAGCCACAGTCTCTTGACCAGGAAGCACAAGCTTCACCCCAGTGTCGCTTGGATTCCACCTGCCCGCACTGGCCGGCTCCCTGAGTGTCATTTGTTGGCTGCTGGTGTTACTTTTTTCCGACTCTTTAGATTTCTTCCTTACCTCTCACCACCTCCCCCTCCTTTCTCTCAAATACCTGGTTCCATGCGCCACTTTTCCTTCTTCCTGAAAGGCCGCGAAACACCGCTCGACTGTGAAACTGATTCCTGGCACGTGCCGCCACACTGGTGGGACCCCCAGGGCTTTTTTATTTGTTTGTTTGTTTGCTCTGATTCGTTCTGTTTTGATTTGTTTGTTTGTTTTCTTTTTCTTTTCTCGGCTTGGTAGCCCCTTCTAGCCGGGCAGTACCACACGACTTGGGAGCTACTCCCTTACCCTGCGCAGATGCACAGGGACATCCCTGGGAGCATTTCTTTCGTCTTGTTTTTTTGTTTGTTTGTTTTTGTTTCTTTGTTGTGTTTTCTTCTCTCTCTTATTCCCTTTTTGCCTTTCTTCATTGCCAGTCTCTCGATTTATTCCTTTTTTCTTTTACTTTTTCTTTTTTTCCTCATTTTTGTTTTTCCCCATTTCTCAGTCTCTCATCTCTCCACTCCAATAGCAAGCTCCCTTAGCACTGTTTTTTGTTTGTGTGTATGTTTTTGGCTCCTGTTCCTCTATCCTCTCTCTCATCTTTCCCATACCCATCTTAGCTCCACACATCACAGTCTACCCCCTCCTTCCTGCCTACCTGCATCGTGCACTGAACATCACACTCCCAAGCAGCACAGGCATGGCCTATTGGAACCTGCCCTGCACTGATTCCTGATCCACACTGTCAGCCATGGTACGTGCCACAAACAACCCATCCCAGCAACTCCCCTTCAGCTGGACCTGCCCTGCTGTACCATACCTGAGTGACTGACCCTGCCCAATGGATAAGGAGGTGAAAAGTATCGTGCCCACAAATGAGCAAACAACAAAGAACACACAGACTGCCTGCTCAGACATAACCAAATAAAACAAACAAGCAGGATGAAACAAACAAATCTACAGTCAATAAATGAAGAAAATAACTACTGAGTGCCTCGAAGACAGCAGACATTATCAAAACATTTACAAAAACAGGACGGGATGGCTCCAGTAGGCATCCAAAATAAAACACCAGATGACCTTCCAGTAGAAGAAAAGGCACTAGACCTAACCGATAGGGAATTCAAATCTCTAATATTCAGAATTATCCAAGAGTTGAAGCAAAAAGCAGACAAAAACGAGGAAAAAATAGACAAATTCATGGAAAACGCAGGCAAAAAATGGAAGAATTCAAGAAAATAATACAGGAACAAAATGCTCAAATAAATTCACAACTAGAAATCATGCAAAAACAACAGTTATAAATCCAAAAGATAAACAACAAGA